CGGGATGAAATTCCAAAATAAAACCAACACTAACGGTAATCAATAAATATCAATCTAGACTCTGTGTTCAATTGTTGTTTTTGGCCCCCCCTCCCCAATTTTGACGGTCCATCCGCAGCGAGTTTCGAAATCTAATTAGCGTTGTTTTCTTTTCTGCACGAATTTCGTTTCTTTTTGTTCGGCTGGCGAATTTGCATCGAACATTGGTTATTTACGTTTTCAACGGTTTCTTGTCTTGACGACATCGACGACGTATGATTTGTAGCGTGAGGCGTCTGCGAAAAATGCGAATGGTCAGACAGCGCGGTTATGTGTGTAGGTCTAGGTCTAGGTCAACGATGTTTCATTTCGCTGTCGGTATTTCATCTTTCGATTTCGTTGCAAAAGGTCGTTCACCATGCGGAAGTTGGCCATTTCTTGATAACGATTCCATTGATGACAAAGCTGATATAACTGTAACAAAGATTTGAGTTAATATCGAATTATTTATTTATATTCCAAAGTCTTCGTCATGTGTTTGTCTCGCTTGTTTATCTAGGCCGATGTCTGTGTTGCGTTTGGCGTTGCGAGGCGGAAGATAATCCGATTTTCCTTGCGTCTATGAACCTTTTAATAGAAAAGACAGAAACTTGCGAATTCATTTCAGCTCAAAATTTTGGCATTTCTTACGTAACGATTAAAAATGTTTATTAGATATGATAATTTTGAATACATCTCACAATATTCTTAAAATAAAAATTAAAACACTCTCCAAAAATTGAGAGTTAAGTTATTTAAAACTATATTTTGTTTAATATTCCCATATTCGCCCCAGAAGGGGAATCTGGACGTCTTAATTAAATACATATAGGAGATTTTTTGCTTAAGATCCGTGGTGTATTAAAGACACTGTCCGACTATGGGTCTGTTTATTTGTTCTGATTTTGTTGAAATGTTATTTGGTCGCGCTTGAAGTCGCATGTAAGGGTGCCGAGAACATTAAAAAATGTTTTTACTCTTGTTAAAATTTGAGCTTTTTCCTTTTATGAATTTAAGGAAATAGATTATTCGATTTTTACAATCTAAAATAGTTTGTATTTTAATACCCTCCACCATTCTATGGAGGGTATATTAACTTTGTCATCCCGTTTGTTACTCCTCGAAATATTCATAATAGACCCTACAAAGTATATATATTCTGGATCAGCGTAAAATTCTAAGACGATCTAGCGATGTTCGTCTATCTGTCTGCCCGTCTGTCTGTCCGTCTGTCTATTGTAATCACGCTATCTTGAGATAGAAGGCTAATTTTGCATACATGCATAGTTTACAAGTAGGCAGGTTCAGTTCGTAAATGGGCCATGTCGTTTCAAATTTCGCATTTGAAGTTCGTAATGAGTACTACAGTCTATAACAAAATTTTTGTATGCAGTTCCATGTACTCGTGTAGCCCCCATATAACGGCACCTCCCGATATTCAGTATTTTGATGATTTCAGCAACATTATTCACCGGAATCGTTTCAAATTTCGTACTGGAAGATCCTAATGGTACTACATCCTAAGACAGACAATTATCTGTGCAGGTCCACGCCTTCGTATAGCCCCTACATAACGGTTACTCCCGAAATTCAATATTTTGACGATTTTAGCGACATTATTCACCAGAATTGTTTCAAATTTGGTATTTGAAGTTTGTTATGGGTACTACAGCCTGTGACAAAAATTTTTGTATGCAGGTCTAAGTCTTCGAATAGCCCCCATATAACGATACATCCCGATATTCAGTATTTTGATGAGTTAGCAACATTATTCATGGACTTTTTTCAAATTTCGTAAGGGAAGATTGAGCAGTGGCCCGCTGTGGATGGATCGGCTTTTCAATGTATACATATGTGGTTTCTGTTCCTCAAATGCGACGTTTTTGTTGTTTTACATACCCGCCACCATCGAAATGAGCTTTAACTGAAAAGATTATTTTTTTTTTCTAAAATCCTGTCCACTTAGCGAAGTGAAAACGCAGTTAATGGTCAATTGGCTAGGAGTTTATTGGAATAAGTTTACATTACAGACCCTGTGAAAGAGTACGAATAGTGCTAAAGCACTGGTGTAGTTTAGCAAAGATGCAATACACGATTTTTAGAATAGTCAATCTTTTAGTGTAAATGAAACTAAATTAAGCAGGGAGCATATGAATGGAATAGGCATCAATGTTAGTGTATTAAGCGTTTAGATAACGATATGGGATACTTGGGAGGTAGCGGACAATATTTTGCCATTTTGTGCTTTAAAAATTTGAAAAGTTTTGTAAGCCCTTCTAACGGGAACACACGAATATAAATTGAATATAATTATTGCCAGGTATATTTTTCATTCAATCATTTAATTTTTTTTTTTGGGAATTTTCCTTGTAGAAATGCCTTCTCGGTGTTGGTACGTGAATGCGTACATACGTAACCGTTTGTGAGTAATTGTAGTATTGGCAATTACTTTGTTAATAATGACGCTTAGGTAGATCTGTGTATGTGTGAGTGTTTTTGTATTCGATATTGGCACAATGTTTTTCTTTAAGTTCGAAGGTACAGCTATCACCCCTGTATTATTTAATGCCAGATATTGACGTTGTACTTGGAACTCAATTTAATTAGTTTGTTTTTGTTTGTTTTGAGTTATTTCGACAGCGGCTCATATCCCATATTGCTGATATAGACTGGAATTAATCACAGGTTCTGTTCAAATTAATTGCTAACAAGGGTTGTTTACATCCAACAGTGTATTTTGCGCAAGACAATGAAATTTAAAAAAAGTCAAAAAAAAAATAGAATTATTGTTTTTCTTTCACATATCTTTCGACGCACAGAAACAGACACAAAATATAATCTTTCGAACACAAACCATTCTTAGCAATGCTTTAACCAATATTATCCAGTGCCAATCCTGCGGAAGTTTTCTATATAATAATTTCACATATCGCCCTTAACTCACAGAGTCTTATAACTCGAATCCTGCCAGATATTCTAGACATCAGAGAAATCGTCGAACTAACTTATGAGATATGGCTAGAGATGGTATATATCATTTGATACGATCAAAACGTGCCTAATCGAAATAGCGGTTTTGGGTCTCTTTGGATCTTTTGGAGTCGATCAGGGCATTTGGAGTCGATCTAGTGATGTCCGTCCGTTTGTCTTGCTGGTGCACATAATAACTCTCGAAGGGAGTATCCGATTTGGTCCAATCGTCCACATCGTAATATTATTATCAAACGTCGATCGAGTTCGGAGAAGGGCAATATATATTTTGACAATCCGATTTTGCTCCAATTTTGCAAATGTGAAAATAGACAATATCGGTCCACTCCGTCAAGTACCTCCTCCACAAAGGGTCAACATTTTGCATAGTTATAACTCTTATAAAATGTGATGTAAGAGTCCGATTGTCTTCAAATTACACATATCGCAATAATTTTATTCACCCAAGGTTTAGTGTGAATGTGGAATATATCGGACAACTACTTCTGGTACCTCCCCAACGAAGGTTCAAAATGTTAAATAGCCATGAAGCTCATAAAACGCGAAACTAACATCCGATTCCATTCTGACTCGGTACATCTCAATATTTCCATCAACATCTGTTATAAAGATGATATAGATTTGACCATTTCTTCTGGTACGACGGATAGACGGACCGACAGACATGGCTAAATAGACATAGATTGTATGCTGACCAAGAATATATACACTTTGGGGCGTCCAAAATGAATATATAGAAGTGTTAGAAAAGGAAAGAAAAGCTTAATATACCCTGCATACTATGTATGGTGGAGGTTGTAAAATGTCAGCTAAGTTCGGCCGGTTCATAACTCTTATTACCCCCCCCCCCCCCCCCCCCCCCCACATTTAAAACTTGCAAATTGAAAATCGTTTCAGATTGCGGCTAAAATATAACAATACTGAATATCGGGTGATATAGTTGTATTCCGTTGAAAAATACGGCTCAGGTCAGCAATTTTTTCCAAACAAAATAATTCAGGTGGAAAGTATACAGAAATATCTGCAGGTACAGTTATTTGAGAAATACACCAAACCTCTTTTCTGCAAAGATGTTTCCTTCCTACACATTCTGCCAATTTATGGCAAAACGTGGACCAATATGACCCATTTTTAATACCACTTTAAATTCTAAAGACCTACAATACATGTTAGTATTAGTTAGTATTATAATTAGTTTAATATTGTTTGGTAGCTAAAGTCATATCCAGGCAGACGGACGGACGGACATCACTAAATCGATATGTAATTGTATGCTGCCCAAAAATGGGATGTAACACCTCGAATGAAGGGAATTAATAGTATGATGGAGGGTATAAAAATCAAATCCACAATTTGTTTGGCTTTGGAATAACCTTTGAATACAGTTTCCAAATGAAAACCCTTTTGAAGCAACGAGTTCCTGTTGACTTTGGTACAAATTCAATACGGAATCCTGATAGACTTATTGCCTTGTTATTGTTATATACAATGAGCTGCACTATTCCACCGTGAGCTTTTCGCTGATTGAGATGTTGTGAGAAATACGGCGATAAGCCTTTCCGGTTTCTCTCTGCCAACCTTGACCTATTCTTTTACAGCTTCTCTTTCAGTGCGTAACAAGCCAATGTCAAAAACCTGTTGCCGTTGTTTGTTGTTTCTTTTTACGACGTTATTCTGATGTTCTATGTGTTGCTTTGCCAACAACTTTCACAAGAAATTAAGAGACGAATAAAAAAAGAAATGATAGACTTCAAACTCAGATGCACACATACACACATCCCTATCCAGAAATGTTGTCCAATGTACCCAAACTGGAATTAAGAGAATAACGTTAAACAAATACAAATACAAATACAAACATATGCACATTCAAAAGAGTTCCGCACACACACCCGCTCCGGAACTCGGTGCGGCTGCAGACTGTTCATAGAGGAGTTAGATAACAAACCGTCTTCATTTTCAACGGCTATATCTAGCGTATATAGGGCGTATTTACTAAACCAGTCCTTTCTAGTTTAGACGTGACATTAACGTGATCATAAATACGACAATCCGCAACAGCAATGGATTCTTCGATTCGAAGTTCTTTTGTCGTTTTGTGTCGTTTGTGGCTGGGGGCTATATTCCTGCTTTGCCGGGCGGAGATAATGCTCCGAAACAGGAATTGATTCCGAACACTGTTGTGTTTTGACGCGACGACAAGTCAACAATCTCGGAAACGAAGTAGACCTTGAACATAACATGTTAGCAGGTACCTATATTAAAGGTGCGTGTTACATTTTAAGATGGTTGTTTTGTATTTCGTTGACGAGCAAGGCACCACGAAAGACATTCGGAAGAGTTCACGAACAATTTAAGGCGCTGCAACAGAAGCTGACATTTGAACAAAAAACATCTGCATTATGCGAACATTGAAAGAATGCAACGAAAACACAAACGGGGGTCTTTACTTATCCGCCCTGTAATTGATCCAAGCATGGTAAAATATTTAAAAACACAGCTCCGAAGACAGAGTAGCGTACTTTCAAATAAACTGATAACAAATACATCGAGCGTTTTTGTTACTGGAAACTTTCTCGTAATATTTTAATTTAAGAAAAAATTGCGAACATTTATGGAACGCCACAATAACGAGTTTCTAATCCAATTATTTTTATTATAAATATGAATTTAAATTTCAACAAAACTTGAACATGTTCAAAATTATTTTGTTTATTAATTAAAACACACATACGACACATACAACAACTGTATATATGTTTTGACATTAAAATACTACCAAAACAAAAAATGTTATTCAAGTAATTGCTCTACCTTGGAGATTATTCTACCATGGATCCAAGTTCAATTTGTATATCATAGTCTATAGCTTTTTTTTCGGTGTTGAAAGGGAAGTAAGTGATAAAAAAAATTTGTATATTTGAATTTGGAAAATGTAACAATTGGGTGAATTATAAAAAATATTAATTTTTACTATTTTATTGTTTGGTAGATACGAATGTACACAACATTTTACCACAGTGGGGAAGTTGAATATTTGCGTACGCTACGTATTTAAAGATTATCCGAATCTTGAATATTTATTCCCAAAAGTTTTACAGCAATAGATAATGAAGTCGGTGCTTTTAAATTTGCCCAAGGCCAAAAACGGACGGGAGGGCATGTGTTCACAGACAATGCAGAATACCAAAAGGAAATGTGGACCTGTTTCTCGATTTTGTGTGTATTTTTTATGCTCTATCGGAATCTGAACATCTGTTAATATCGTAGCTTCCCAAATCTAATTGGGAAATGGACATTTTTTTCTAATTTGCAAAAGTATTTTGCAATATGCATACAAAAACACGTTAAAAAGTATCAGTCGGGCTTGCCGACAGATGTATACCCTCAGCCATTGTTCGATTATTTACATATATTTTGACTTGTGTTATAAAGGAATGGACCAATATGTTCATTTCGCATCGGGCCTAAATAAATACGATATAAATGCTTCGATAAGCCAGAATTGGACAGTATTGGTTACTTCCTTCTCTTTATGTGAGATATATGACAATTTTTAGAAAATGTTAAAAAGCGCGTGACTTGCCAGATATAGGTGACCGAGGTATTCCATTTTCATCTCAGGTTCCTGGTTGAGAGAAATAGAAATGTAACGAATGGCTAACTTGTTTCTCAAGCTTTGAAAAATGTGACCCTTTGTGGGTGACGTAGATATATAGCATCTTGTACTAGCAAAAATGTTTGTATGTGTGAAAGAGAGTTGGATGCTTATTTGGCTTTCTTTGAGCATTTTGTTTTATGAGCTTCGTGGATATTAAAAATTCTGACCCCGTGGGGAGGGGAAGGTACCAGAATGAGTGAACCGATATATCCCATCTTCACAATAGATATTGTGTTATTAGAAATATTGAGATGAGTGTAATTTAAAGATAATCAGATGCTTATTTCGCGTTTTACGAGCTTCATGGCTATTCCAAATTCTGAGCCTTTGTGGGGGCGGTACCAGAAGGGGTGGACCTATATTCCATCTTAACAGCAAATGTTGTGTTAGTAGACATAATGGGATTTGAGAAATATTAAGCGAACCAGAGGCTTATTTTGGATTTTATAATCGTCTTGGTTATTCAAAAGTTTGACCCTTTGTGGGGAAGGTACCAGGTATACCATCTTCACACCAGACTGTGCTTTAATAAAAATATTGTGATGTGTGTAGTTTGAAGACGATCGGACTCAGAATTCATATTTTATAAAAGTTATAGTTATTCAAAATTTAGCACCGATGCAAATATTGAGATTTGCAAAGTTGGAGCAAAATCGGAGGATCTTTTTCTTTCTTTAAAATAATAAAATATTTTTTGAAAATATCAACCTCAATATTGTGCATCTCCGAACTCTGTTCAAGTTTGATATTAATATTACGATGTACCAAGATGTATCATGCATACCAGCCAGCCAGACAGACCAACCGACAGACTTCGCTAGATCGACTCCAAATGTCCTGAAACGAATTTGGTCTAAAGGGTCAAAATCCGTTACTTCGATGAGGCACGTTTCAAATCTCTAGCCATATGACCGAGGGTATAATGAATGTTCTATCCTTCTTCAAAGTTCTTCGCTCTTTGTTTAAATACTTTGAAGGCATTTACTAACAGCTTTATTAAAATGTTGGTCTATTTTTCTTCTTGTTCAAATCGTTTGTATTGTTCTGCGTAATAAAAAGAAAGCCGTTGAATCTTCAAAAAAATAATTTTGCAAAAAAAAAAAATATGTATTGTACCCTTGCCATGTCGTAAAATTGACAATTTTAGTGGCCAAAAAATTAGGCCGGATGAGATTGAAAGCTGAAAATACTCTCGTAAATGTAATTTTAAAATATTCATTCATTAACTGAGGTTGTATGAGAGAAACAGCGACATCTATCTCGCTATTCTCGACCATCTGGGCGACAGGGCAGTGATTTGATTTGATTCAGATAATAGAACGCCTCACCGCACAGCAGTCTTTTCTACCAAAGTCTGGCATTACTCGCAGACAGATTATGTCTGAAACGTAAAGTGAAAATCCGCAGCGTATCGTCAACGCCGACCAACCCTTCCTCGTTTCGCTGAGCTCTTTCGACCATGAAGTTGAACTTGAATTCGCTTCATTATCATTTGTTTTCTTCATAATTTTCATTGGTGAACTTCCACATCTATGCTTTGTGGAAGCGTTGAATGCGTTCTTCTTTAAAGGTTATTAGCATTCGAGTACCTTGGCTACTCGGCCATTCGGCATCACAACAGCGATACAACACTTTGACCCGTAGTTTGCCGTAACATTTAGAATCAGATTCTGCTAATAATAATGAAGTTGTCATTGCGAGAAACCGAATAAATTGTTTTCTTTGAGAAGTCGAAGGGTTTTTGTTTTGCGAACAATATTTTTTGGTTCTTATTGACATGAAGTTTTATTTTAGGCATGATGGTTCGATAAACACCACATCGAAACGAATCCACCTTGGCACACTTATGACGTGTCTTGTGGTTAGTGTGGTCATCTGTGCGGGTATATTCACTTTGCCATTATTAAGATAGGAAACTTTGAAGCTGTGCACAGATCAGTCTTTTGTGTGCAGGCAGGTCAAGTTCAAAGATGGGCTATATCGGTCCACGAAATCGAATGGCCTCTATACAACGGTACCCCCTGATATTCGGTATTTTGATGATTTCAGGTATATTTTTCAAAGGAATTGTCTGAAATCCTACACAAGGAGTTCTTTGTGGGTACTTTACTTGCTGGAAGAGAATTGTCTATATAGGTCCATGATATCGTATATCCCTCATATAACGGTACCTCTCGATATTCGGTATTTCGATGATTTAGTCAAATTTTCAATAGCATTGTCTGAAATTCTGCACACGGAGTTCTCTGTGAGTACTTTACCCCCTAAAAGAGTGTTCTCCACATAGGGGCGCGATATCATATAGCCTCCATATAATGGTATCCCCAATATACGGTAGTTTGATGATTTTAACCACATTTTCAATGAAATTGTCTGAAATTCCACACTTTACATTTTTCATGTTCCTTCCGAATGGTGGAGGATATGAAAAGCTCGACCCAAACGAACTTCGCTGCTTTTTTACTTGTTTTTTTTTTTAATTATTTATTTAAAATAATAGAATCAGGCAGTGTCGATTAAAATATGGCGTTGTTTATAGCTATATAATAGGTCATAAACTGGGATCGGAAGTAACTTAATTAAATTACAGATGTCACACCTCTGCAGTGGAGTCCTGTAAGTTATTTGTCGTTGTGTAAAATATTGAATTAATTTGAAGCGATAAGTTTTGGCAACTTCTTGAGAACAACAAATTGGTTCCGGAACGGGTTAAGGAGCTGTTACAAAAAAAAGATTGTTTGTTCTGAAAAAGCTATGGTGTTCTGTCATTAGGAATTATCATGTACAAGTCAACTTCTCGCATTCAAGCATGATTAGCATAAGATTACATGTCGATTAAGCCATGTCAGCTCGTCTGTCTGTATCGCAATATTCGGTATTTTGATGATTTTAGATAAGTTATTCACCGGCATTGTTTCAAATTTCGTATTTGAAGTTCCTAATGGGTACTATGACAGAATATTGCAGATGCAGGTCTACTTTTTCGTATAGCCCCCATGCAACGGTACCTCTCTATATTTTGTATTTTGATGATTTAGATACATTATTCTCCGGAACTGTTTTAAATTTCGGATTGGAACTTCGTCTACAGTCTGTGACAGAAAATTACCTATACGCGTTCACGTCTACGTATAGACACCAAAATAACGGTAAATATTATAAAGATTTTTAACAGAATTTTTAACGGATTTTGTTTTTATAGCCTCCACCATATTATGGAGGGTATATTAACTTTGTCATTCCTTTAACTCCTCGAAATACTCATGTCAGACCCAACAAAGTACATATATTCTAAGTCGATTTAGCGATGTCCGTTTGTCTGTTGTAATCACGCTATCTTTCGAACGAATTGAGATAGAAGGCTAAAATTTTGCACACATGTTTATTTTGCCAGTAGGCCATGTAGGTCCACGTTTTCTTATAGCCCACATATAACGGTACCTCCCGATGTTCGGTATTTTAATGGTTTTAGCGACATTATTTACCGGAATTGTTTCAAATTTGGGATTTGAAGTTCGTAATGGATACTGCAGCTTACGACAGAAAATTGTCTATGCAGGTCCAGGTCTCCGCATAGGCCCCATATATCAGTACCTCCCTATATTCGGTATTTTGACGATTTTAGGTACAATACCCACCGAAATTGTTTGAGATGTCGTATTTGAAGTTCGTAATGGATGATACAGCCTGTGACAGAAAATTGTTTATGCAGGTCCAGGTCTTCGCACAGCTCCGATATAACGGTACCTCCCTGTATACGATATTTTGATGATTTTAGCTACATTATTCACCGTTTATTTATTTGGAGGCTATACGAAGACCTAGACCTCTACGAACTCTAAATACGTAATTTGAAACAATTCTGGTGAATAATGACGCTAAAATCATCTAAATACCGAATATTGGGAGTACCTTTATATGGGGACTATACGAAGGTGTAGACCTGCACAGACAATTTTCTGTCATAGGCTGTAGTATCCACTACGAACTTCAAATGCCAAAATTGAAACAATTACGGTTAATCATCAAAATATCGAATATAGGGAGATGCCGTTATAGGGGGGCTATACGAAGACGTGGACCTGCACAGACCATTTTCTGTCATAGGCTGCAGTATTCATTACGAACTTCAAATCCCAAATTTAAAACAATTCCGGTAAATAATGTCGCTAAAACCATTAAAATACCGAATGTCGGGAGGTACCGTTATATGGGGGCTGTATGAAAACGTAA